TGCTGCGGACCCTGGTGCTGGAGGTGCTGCTGCTGCTGGTGGTGCTGCTGGAGGTGCTGCTCGTACTGAGGACCCGGGCGTTGGAGCTGCTGCGGGTGCTGCGGACCCTGCTGCTGGAGGTGCTGCTGGTGCTGCTGGAGGTGGTGCTGCTGCCGCTGGAGTGGAGGACCCGGAGGGTGGAGCTTCTGCTGGTGCTGAGGACCCTGCCGCTGGTGTCTCTGCTGGTTCGGGAGTTGCTGCACGGCCACGGCCGTACTTCGTTCCGCTCCTTCAGCAGGTTCTTGGTCAGACTCCTCCTCCTTGTCCTCCTCTCGCCTTAGAGTGTCCGCCGTCTGTCCAGTCACAGCCACAGTTACCGCCTGCCTCCCCGCTCCCTGTGCCTACTCCTTACACTGGTCCGACTGGAGGTCTTGCTGAGAGACGTGAGCCTGCGTCACGTCCTGTGTCACCTGCGTCTCGTCGAGCGTCGCCTGTTCGTGCTGCTACCACTGGTAGTCGAGTCCAGCGTCAGCGTCCTCCTGCTGTCCCAGGCACTCACCAGATGGCGCTTCGTCAGTCCACTGCTCCGCAGCGTCTCGTTCTCCCGTCGCCTCCTGCGTCCTCTCTTCCTGCTCTTGCTGACCCGGAGTCAGACACCCTTCGCGCTGCCAGTCCTAGTGTCACACGTCTCCTGGCTACAGTTGTCACTGACCCTTTCTTTGAGTCCGCTGCTGCGTCTGCCTTAGTCACTGAGCTTGTCGACTTTGCAGCTGCGTGTCGTCTAGACTACGCTGCGAGTCTTGTTGCTGAGTCTGAGTCTGTCTGTCCTCCGTCCGTCGGGGGTGAGTGTGCTCTTGGCACGGACGTTCTTGAGGACAGGCAGGAAGAGTTTGGTTGCCTTGCCGCTGCTTTGCCCCATCTCGTGTCCATGCTTGTTGCCCCTGAGGGAGACCCGGATGCACCAGACATCCCGACCCCACGCTCTTACGCAGAGGCGATGGCCGGTCCCTACTCCTCTCAGTGGCAGTCACCCATGGACACAGAGATGGCTTCCTGGAAGTCCACTGGCACCTACGTCGACGAGGTTCCCCCACCTGGGGCGAACATCGTCAGTGGCATGTGGATTTTCAGGGTGAAGCGGCCGCCGGGCTCTCCGCCTGTCTTCAAGGCGCGTTACGTTGCACGAGGCTTCAGTCAGCGAGAGGGAGTTGACTTCTTCCAGACCTTCTCCCCGACCCCGAAGATGACCACTCTTCGGGTTCTGCTACACGTCGCCGCTCAGCGTGACTACGAGCTCCACTCTCTTGACTTCAGCACAGCTTTCTTGCAGGGCAGCTTGCACGAGGAGATCTGGCTGCGCCGCCCACCTGGCTTCACTGGGTCGTTCCCTCTTGGTACCCAGTGGAGCCTCAGGCGGCCAGTCTACGGTCTCCGCCAGGCGCCACGTGAGTGGCACGACACACTGAGGACTACACTTGCGGCTCTTGGGTTCGCTCCTTCTACTGCTGACCCGTCGCTGTTTCTACGCACCGACACCTCACTGCCGCCGTTCTACATTCTCGTGTACGTCGACGACTTGGTCTTTGCCACTTCTGACACAGCTGGTCTCGCTCACGTGAAGTCCGAGCTGCAGAAGAGACACACGTGCACAGACCTGGGTGAACTGACAAGCTATCTTGGCTTGCGGATCACCCGGGACAGAGCACGGCGCACCATCACCTTGACTCACTCACACATGGTGCAGCAGGTCCTTCAGCGCTTCGGCTTCACGTACTCCTCGCCTCAGTCCACTCCTCTGCCTACGGGACACTCGCTCTCAGCTCTGCCTTCGGATGAGTCCGTAGAGCCGAGTGGTCCGTATCCAGAGCTTGTGGGCTGCCTCATGTACCTGATGACCTGCACTCGACCTGACCTTGCATACCCTCTCAGCATCTTAGCACGCTATGTCGCTCCCGGCCGTCACCGGAAGGAGCACATGGATGCAGCTAAGAGGGTGTTGCGCTACTTGTGCAGTACGTCGGGCGTGGGGCTAGTGCTTGGAGGGCGAGACAGGCCTGTTCTCACTGGGCACTCAGACGCTTCTTGGGCAGACGACCAGGCTACTCAGCGGTCGTCTCAGGGTTACACCTTCAGTCTTGGCTCTGGCTCTGTCTCTTGGCGTTCTACTCATTCTTCTTCTGTTCTCGGCTCCAGCTGTGAGGCTGAGATCTACGCCACGGCCATGGCTGCTTAGGAGCTTCGCTGGCTCACCTACCTGCTGACTGACCTTGGAGAGCAGCCTCGTTCTCCTCCAGTGCTGTACGTCGACAACAAGGCAACCATAGCCTTGTGTCAGGAGCACAGACTGGAGCACAGGACGAAGCACATTGCTCTACGTTACTTTCTAGCTCGAGAGCTACAGCAGCGTGGTCAGCTTCTTCTGCATTACGTGGCCACTGAGGCCAACACTGCTGATGTGTTCACCAAGGCGCTTCCGCCTGTTGACCATCAGCGTTTTTGCACTCTTCTAGGCCTTGTGCCGACTGTTCCTCACTTGCTTACTTCTTGACTTTGCCTGTACTGTGATCATTATATATATACCTGCATGTTTGCCCTTGCTAGGTTGTGATCATTGTACCTCTTGCTCTGTTATAAAATTGCATGTGAACTGGTCTTGTGACCGCTTACTTGTGCTCGGAATTTGTGTGGAATCCTCGAGATCCACCCTGAGCTTGTTTGCCTTGTTTTGCCTTGACTGGTCTTGTGACCCCTAGGTCTCCCCCACTTTGCCTATGGGGGTGTGTCAAACATTATATGTTTGTGTGGTTCTAGGCTGTAGTGGGTCACACCATAGGGGGTACACCAGTTTAGGGTTTCATATTTGTACTGTTGTTTCTGCTAGTCACATCATTCCTGTTTCTCATTCTGACATATTTTCGTGACTGAAGTTCACATTTTGGGGCGGTGCAGCTCGATCATTTGAGGGGGATTTCCGCTGTTCGGGGGCTACTGCTTCGCTGGCAATCAATCCACAAATCCGTTTCAAGCATGCCAGAATCGTTGTCCATTCGTCACAGGCTTGTATGTGTCCGTAGTGGTTCTACGACAATGCTTTTCTGCCCACTTTATCCCAGTTTCGGGAATGTTTCTGAAACGAAACCTCAGAATAAGAAATAAAAAACAAAATACGAGTTGGTACCACACTCGCGCGAGTTCACACAGCTTACATCCCCTCCCCCCTATTTAGACGAGGGGGAGTTGGTGCAGTTTGCACAATTCTGCCCAGAACTTTGGATAATCCAGAAACAACCCTGGGAGAGACAATCACTGAAGTCACAAGATGTGATCCAGAAATCCCGTGATCCCATGGTGTTGTCTGTGGTTGGTCTCAGTGTACAATTTGCATGGCCAAACTGCTTGGCAAGAGCCAATCAGCAGCAGTCAATAGGTGGAAGTCACAGAGTCCGGCGTGGTTTGCGAGGCCTGCCATCCTCCTTGTACCAGCATGACTCGCAAAGTATCTAAACCTGATGCACCAATCTCCGCAGGAAGAATCTAGAACCTACAGAACAGAACCTCGTGATCTGGTAATGTATTCGCTCTACTGTGCATGGTCAGTTTCAGCCAATACATAAATTGTGTCATGTGATAGTGACGTCATTAAGTTGGTGATTTGATCGCCTTCATTCAATCGACAACGACGTGTACTGTAAACGTACAAACAATGCTCGTTATAGTCACCTCTGGTAGGCGGGCGGATTGTTCTTCTTTTGAGCGAGGGTAATTCGTGCAGGTTCGCGGGCGTCGCCACAGGCATATTGTGACTGTATGGTTGCAAGTGTTAGAGACTAAGGACGGAGTCTATGAAGATTAGGTGCCTAAAATTCTCAAAATCGTTGGCTTAGAATTCTGGACAGAAAAGTCGCGCTCACAAGAAACGCCTTCGACGAAAAGTTCACGGTCAAAACTTCACCAAACTCAGATATGTTGTAGCTCTACTCCGTGGCTACAATTCCCAAGTTGAATCATACGAAAAGATGAAGTATTTCTTGAGTAATCAATTTTGGCGCACTAGGGGGTATGCTGCCATGGAATCTTAACTCAATCACAATAGTCTCACAAGTTCACAATTACTACACAAGAGAGTTAGAGTAGCACTAAACCAGGTGGAAGGGATGAGGAGGATGAGAGGGAAGGTCCCAAGAGAGTCCCCAACCAAGGAAACCCAATGCCACACAATTCCCCTCTCCATAGGCAACCCCACTTTCACTTTTGTCACTTTCCCAACCTCCACAATCGACCTCAACCCAACTTGGCCACACTTGCCAACCTGGTTTGGTTTCTCCCAACCATTTGGCAGCAACTACAGCAGAAAAGACGAATTTCCCAACCCCCAAAAGTCTGTACCCCTTATGGAGTCAACACCACAACTTCCCATAGTCACCACAACCAAATATGAAAAGCATGCGAACTTCAACGTTCGTAACTTTCTTGTTCGTGCTCCGATTGAAGTGATACTTGGTTCGTCAAAAAGCTCTTGAGCACAGGAGTCACTTCAGATATCTGCTCAAGCCAAATAACATTCACACACACTCAAAAAATTCAAACCACGCAAAACACAAATTCTTGCACACGCTCACACCACGCATGCAACGCACGAACATATGATGGGAGGCAGACAGACGTGAATGCAAATGATAGCATCACATAACAGCAAGGTTGTAACATGTTTGAATTTTCCTAGAAACTGTGGACCAGCTTCATTTGTTTTGTTTGCATGTTCCTAGTTACCATGAGGCACAACCTCTACAGTAGCAATAACCAACAACAATTGTCACAACTAACCACTAATACACCAACAATCATTCCACCATGTTCAACCAGGCCACGTTGCCAAACTGAAGACAATCCCAACCAAATGTTAACCCCCTCCCTTCCTACAGCTTGAAACGATCGTTTTATTCCCCTTCAATATGAAATGCAAACAACTTTCAGTCATTGCAATGCTTCTTCACCTTTGAGTCATGGCAGCCGTGCATAGCTCATAGGCAGTTCATCCACTCAGCCGATGCGTCGTACGGCCCCATCACGGCATGGATGCTATGATGCAGCAGCTCACTGAGTCGGTCCCTGCCCGTGATCGACGGCGGGAGCACCCGACCATGGCGCGGGGCGGAGGAGCTCGCACTTGGCTGCTCGTTGAGGTTCAGAATAGGGCTGGCCCGCACGAGCCGATCACGGACGACGGGGTTGCGGATGTCAAAGAGGAGGGTGAGGTCCCTTGGAGCGACGCCGATAGACTTAGCGTAGCCAATCATCATGTCACACGCCGCACGAGCTATGCGACGTGACTCGCAACTCCCCAGGTCACCATCAAACGCGGCCGCGACTTGCAGTGGCGATTCCCACGCCTCCCTTGTGGGAGGATCCGACGGCTCTGACGCGAGGGGATCGTCACCTTCTTCATCGCACGTCGGAACGTTGTCATCTCCGTCGACGTACTCCCTTACGGGGATGGCGCCGTCGCCAAGTGCCAGCTCCGTGATGAGACGCCTGACCCGCTCAGCTCGTCCTCGAGCGTCTCATCGGCTTCCTCTGGAGCCTCGTATTGCTGTGAATGCACTTTCTCCAGCTGCATCTCCCACGCAAGGGGGAGACATCCGGTGTTCCACCAACACCTCTGGACCGTGCGAGCCCCGATCGTCATCCACGAGTCATGAACCCACACCACCTCATCTCGCATGTTAGGCTTGTACCGGGCGAGTGAGGGTCGTCGGTTGTCGTTCCCCCACTGACGGTGAAGGTCGATTAGCCAAAGTTTCTTGTACTTAGTCTTCGCGGCCTTGATGATTCCCTGGTCAAGGGGCTGCGTGAAGCAAGTTGTGTTGGGCGGAAGATACACCAAACGCACGTTGCTCAACTTGCGCGTGCGGAAGCCGAACATATCCTCGGTTTCGGCCGTCTCAGTGAGCAACGTGTAGCTGCTCGCGTTGTCCAGTAACACGACAATGTCGCGGCTCTCCGTGTACATTGCCGCATTCAATTGCTCGATGAAATGGGTGAACAACTACGAGTGTAAAAGGGGGACAAAGGGATATGTGTCAAAACATCGCACATTGACTTAGCAGCGGTATTCTAAACAAGGTGGGAATCAGCCAACAGTCATGTGTCCACGGGGTATGCCCAAAACAAGTACTCACCTGATTAATCATCCACCCGCGTTTGTTCGCCCGCCAATAGCAGTAGGGCTCGGGGTCGAAATGGGGGCGCCTCGACTTGGAAATGATGAGGGGACGCCAAAACGTGCTCCCATCCGCATTGCACAAGAAGCCCACGGTGAGGCGTTCCTTCGGGATCTTGCGCCCCACGACCTTCGACCGGCCGTATGTCCTCCTCGGGAGGGTAGAGATGTAGAGACCAGTTTCGTCAAAGTTGAGGACGTTGCGAGGGGGCAAGGCCAAGTGAAGTAACAACTTGGGGAGTTGCTCGCGCCATGTTGTGACGGCCGTCATGTCCTACTCGGCGGCTTCGCCAGCCAATGCGAAGCACCGGATGCCGAGTCCTGCCATGGCGCGGCGAACCCATCCGATGGAGCAACGGAAGGTTGGCGGCTTCCCAAGCTCGCGGGCGACCATCTTGCAGTGGTCGCGGATTGTCTCAAGCATGAGCGGCGCTCCAGCCGCATTGGCCAAGTCGACGTAGCGCTTCAACTTAACTTCCAGGTCCGGATGCGCCCCACCACAAACGCGCACACTGTCGCCTGTGTCGCTGGAAGAGGAGCTCCAACGTTGCTCTTCACCGACAATCTTGGTTATAGTTGAACTGTGGGGGCGGATGCCGTATCGTGTAAAGCACCATCGGGAGAGGTCCACGTGACGCAAATGCGAATGTGCCTCGTGATGGGCACAAATGCCCCGTTTCACGTCAAGCGTAATCCGAGAGCGCCTGCCCTACCGTGCCATGTCGTCTAGGAACATGAGCTGCTGTAATGCTGTTTGGATGTGGATGTCGAGTGCTTTTTGGCAGGCTTTTCGTGTTGAGCGTGAGACTTCGCACAAACAAATTGTGCAAAGCCAAGGCGTGTTCGGATTGTTTTTGAGTTGAGAGTTAGGGAATAGTGTACTTTTATAGGTAGCGCTGGTGCAGCGCGGAAAATAAACCCACACCAAGTGTGGGTTGTTTCCCTCAAAGAACACGACCCATTTAACACAGGTTTTGCGCTGCGGGTGGGGCTGAGAGGTGACAGCCGCATAACAAGTTGGCCGCGACTTGACTGTTCAAGTCGCGACCAACGTGGCATTGAAATGCAGCGCGAAGCCGTCAATGGCGTCACGCTGCATTTCACTTCCCTGTGTGAGGTGGCAGGTCATTTGCGACGGCTGCTCCTTGCAGTGTCATGTCGCCGTCGACGTGGCGAACACCACTGCAGCGAAGCCAGCGAAGGCTTCACTGCATTTCGTTTTGCCAGTCGCAGCATTTGCTGTGGTGCTTGTCTAATGTGCCCAGGTCGAACCGCCCTGTAAATCTGCCAGACAAAAACCACAAGCCACCAAACATTCGGGTGACTGTATTCCTTGTAATAGCATTAGGTAAAACATGCAATTGTGAGTAAATTTCTAATTGTGATGACCAATTTTTTTTGTGATAAGGTGAGCATTGACTGTACAGAAATATCTCCAAGCCATGCCAGCGTGCTGATCGTTGAAACAGCCAAGCGCCGCTACTCGCGTTTCCCACGGTTTTGTTGTGTAGCAATATTTTCTTACGTACACCCTGTTTCTCGCTACACGCAAACTCTAGCTAGACTGACATCGAATGTACTCACCAAGACACAAGAACGTGCTATCATAGTTCCCCCCATCACAATTTGTCCCAAAGTAGAAAGTTGTGTTGTGTTGTTTTTAACCCTCAAGTGCTTGTTATCCCAAAGTTTCGAACGCCGAAATGGGTTCGAAATTGAGGGATACCTTGTTGTGGCCTACACAAGGTTAGGGCGTGTGTGAATCTATTTGGAGTTCGTAAATGGGGTCAAACTTTTGGTGGTAACCAATTTCGCCAGTATACGCGAATTATTTCGTCGTTGCTGCGTGCAAACTGATAAATACCGAAATTCGAACCTACCAAAGTGAACAAGAGTCGAGCATATGCTCAAACGCGGTTTTGCACGTTGAACCAAACGTGTGTGGTTTCACGCACGTACAAGGAGTGAGCGACCATCGCAAAACATTCGTGCACCAATCGATGCACGACCGAAACCAGAAGCAGACGCATTCAAGCAAAGCCCTCCACATGGATATTGTCGTGGCACGATGACGTTTTGCGCTGAATCGCTCATCGGAATTCGGGGTGACGCACCCGTTTTGCCTGGGACGACGCGGGGGGGTGACGGTCGACCAAGCGTCAGGGCGGCCAACTCCCTCGCGTGAGTCCCCCGCCAGGCTGGCGCGGGGCGGGGCTCTGCCCACGCCCCCCGCCCCGGCCCCCCACGTTGCAGCCGAGGGGTGGCGAACTCGCGCGTGAGCGACGAGGGGCCTACTTACCCCTTCACGGAGGTGGACATTCGCTTCGCGATGCCCGCGAGGCCCTAGTAACCCTCTCGGGCTGCCCTCGCCGGGCAGGCGGGTTGGTTGCGAAATTCAAAGGGCCCGACCCCACCCTCGTCAACATCGCTGGCCCCTCGGGAGGGGACACGTGGCTCGCCCTCGCCACCCCGACCACCCCCACGCACGGCCCACACAAACCACCCACCTCCGCCCCTCCGAACCCCGCCCTCGAGGGCATGCCCGGTACGGGCCGAAGCCGGAGGCTCGCCCTCGGCCACGACCTGCCTCGTCCGCCGAGCTGCATACTAGGCGACCGACGGCCCACGCCCATTTCTTGATGGGGGGTCCCACTCCATCCGTCATTTCTCCTTTCCAACTTCGCTTTCCGATTTCCTCTGCCTCCCTGTCAGCTCTCCGCGCTCCTCCCCAAACCTTCCGTGATACCGACCGTGGTGTTAGCATGGCGACCAGTAGGATTGCACTACCTGCGACTGAATTCCCCCTCCACGTGCCAGTGGGCATCGGTGGGTACGGGGTGACGCTTGAGATGAAGGACTACGAAGTCCTTCGCGACGAGAAGGCCGAGTTCACAGAACCTTGCTTCGACCTCGGCCTCGCGTGAGCGCGCATCCCTAGGTCGCGTTGTTCGTCCTTGTCCTGCGCGTTTTCGTCGGCGTCCTTTCTAGGTCGACGTTGGCCTTGTCGTTTTTCCGCGTGGTCGACGATGTCCGTCTGCGATGGACGTTTTGGCGCTGCATCGTCCTATTAACTAGTTTGCCTGTCCTCGACCATTGGCCCTACGTCGGTGACGTCCGTCATGCTGCCGGCGACATCGCCGTCGTGCGAAACCTTGGTCCGAGTCCGCTTGTCTTGTTGTCCGCGCTTTACCCCGGCGCCCGGCATGGATTGTAGCTCACCGCGCAAGTGTTTCGCTCCCGCCTTTTCGCCCCCGGTTGTCCCAGGTACGAGCTCGATCGTCTGGGAAAAGGCGACAGGATGATCCTGATCCGCGGGGCGAGTCTTCGCGCTGCCAGGACGGCGTCGAAGGCGGACTATCTGATTTTCGGGTCGGCCTTCGGCTTCGAAGCCCTCGCCATCCCCCTGTGCACCGGGTGAGTGTTCCGCGCCCGTGAGGTTTGATCCACGCCGACCGCGTTGCTTGTTGTTCCCGGACAGAACCCTGAATGTCTCCGTCGTGCTTGTCTGGGCAGTGGCGGACCTCTTCCCGGCAGGCACTGCAGCGTCCTGCTTGTTGTGCGCCCTGGCGACCTGCTTTTGCCCGACGAGGAGGAGATCGGGACGCTCTACCGCCACCTCGACCCCAAAACCTCCTCCAAGCGGCACGAGGAGGAGGCAGCCAACGTTTTGAGGTGGGACAACGTCGACGGCTAGTCGCGCCGCTCCTTAACGGCGTTGATGCCGCCTTGTCTGATGGCTCTTTTCCGTCTCGTAGCGCAGGTTTTTCGGCGAATGCGTGAAGGCGGAGTTGAACCGTGGGGGAAGGCAGTGGACGGCTGCGCCTCCTTCTGCCAAAGTCCTCTCCGAACGTCTGGAGAGTCTTGCCGCCCCCATCCGTGATGTGAGTTTCCAACGTCCATGTTGCCTTGTCGCCTGGGCTATCGTCGTCCAGGCGTCGACTCACCCTTTTCGTCGGCGCCATGTGCTTCGGATGTTGATGCAGAAATTGCCCGACATCCTCAAGGAGGAGGTCGCCGGCACGGGGCTGTTGGCGGTCAACGCGTTCGCGTGGTCGTTGGAGCATCTGGACGACGTGCATCGCAGCTACGATCCGCTCATCGTCGAGAACCCGAAGATGGTCGGCTTGAAGGCGCTCCGACTGGAGCTGCTGCACCACGCGGAGAAGGCCGCGTCGAACAAAGGGGAGGCGGCGTCGACCGTGGGCCGTGGCGTCGGAACCGGCATCGCTCTGGGTGGGGAGGAGGAGCACGAGAGGGAGGACGTCGAGGGGGGCGGGGAGCACGACGGTGGCTCGGAAGAAGAGGAGGACGTGGAGCGTGAGGAGGACGACGTGGCTGTCACCGGCGAAAAGGAGGCAGTACAGTTCGCCGGTGAGAAGGTTGCGGATAAAAGCGGCGGCAGCGGACCCAAGTTGGGCAAGAAGGCCCGGGGCAGCAGTGGCTCGACCCCGACTAGGATGGCGTCAAAGGCGGCTATCGAGCGTCTGAAGGCGGCGGAGAGGGAGATCAAGAAGCTGAGGGAGGAGAAGCTGGTGGCGGAAAAGAGGTTGGAGTTCCAGACGGCCCGGAACGACACGATGTACGGCGTGGTCACCTCGGCCGTGAACAAGCTCACTACAGTCGCCGAGGGCGTGACCCATCTCGAGCAGACGTCGGGGAGGAGCATCCAAACGGCGGTGGACGCTATGAGGGCGGTCGTGCAGGAGGCGGTGAGCTATCGCGGCTCCACCCTAGAATTCATGAACACACAATGGCTGCCCACCGTGCAGGCCCTGCACTTGACGGCTACTGCTGCACAGGGTAGGCGACGGGAGGACGACCTCCTGCTGCTTCGAGGTGTGGCAGATGCTCTTGGCCAGAAGATCAAAACAGTCGTGTCTGCCGAGGTGAAGGCCGCCATGGAGGGCGAGGCGCAGCGGATCGCCGCTGCCGTGACTGCGAAGGTCGTCCAAGAGCTTAGGGACGACCTGGTGAAGGTGGTCACCTCCGTGACCCAACGGGGCATTGGCACCGCCGGGTTTAGCCTCCTCCCAACTGCTCTCGCGTCGGTGATGCACGGCGGTCGCGCAACCGCCGAGGAGAGTGGGCCGGCCCCAAGGCAGTCGGGGAAAAGGGTCGCCGACGAAAAATCCCTGACCGGCGACCAGACCAGCGGCTCTAAGCGAAGCAGAGGACCTGCGGTGAAACGCGGTGTGGGCGTGGATCCTCCTGCCCCTCCGTATGTTCGTATCCCCGGCGTCCACGACTTGCTGAAAGATGGACTTGGCGCGCGACCGAGCGTAGATTTTCGACAGGTCGACGTCGCGCTCCAGGATCCTCAGTCTGTGGTCGGGAAGACCGGTGGGCAGCCCGTGGGGGACAAGCAACCACAGGCCCCGACCGATCCGCCGAGCGCACACAACGCGCCACCGAGCTGCGACCAGGTGGGTCTGGCCGACGAGCTCATGGGAGAGGCATCCGTGGTCGCGAAGCAGGGCTGGCAGCCAACGGCGGACCAGCATCCACACCCCGAGGCCAGTCCGGCGACTGCACAAGGCGCTCGACCGAGCGGCGGCACGGCCCAGATGGCAGACGACATGCACGTCGCAGCGGTGGTCGGCCAGGCGCGCGGGGAGCCCGTTGCGGTCCAGCATGTTCAACCCTCGACGAGTACGCCGACTGCGCGACCGACCGGCGTCACAGCGCAGCTGCCCGATGACCTCCTGCGCCCCGCAGCGGTTGTCGGACAGCAGGGCGGGCCGCCCGGTGCGGGCCAGCATCTTCACCCGTCGACGAGCACGCCGACCGCACAAGACGCGCGTCTAGCTGGCGTCACGACGCTGGTAGACGAGCTCTTGCGCCCAGCAGCGGTGGTCGGACAGCAGGGCGGGCCGCCAGGTACGGGCCAGCATCCCCCCACCGCGACGAGTCCGGCGACTGCACAGGACGCGCGTCCGGCTGGCGCCACGGCGCTGGTCGACGAGCTCTTGCGCCCAGCATCCGTGGTCGGACAGCATGTCCAGCAGGCCGCGGCGGGCCACCATCCCCACACCGCGACGAGTCCTGCCACTACACGTGACGCGCGACCGGGTGGTGTCACGGCGCTGGTCGACGAGCTCTTGCGCCCAGCAGCGGTGGTCGGACAGCATGTCCAGCAGGCTGCCGGTGCGGCCAGCTTACCCGTTCATGGGGCCATGGTCGTCGCGGAACCGATCCCGATCCCAACGGCTGTTGAGTCTCGGGCGGTCGAGGCTCTAGTCACTCAAAAGCCATCGTTCGACGAGTATCTAAAATGGCTCGAGGATCAGGGTCAGAAAACCCCGGTAATTCCTCCGACTCACAGCAACCAGGCGGTCGACCAAGGAGCAGAGGCAGCGAACGTCGCGGCGGCGACTGCAGGTCCGAGTGGCTCAACGATGGAGGCGGCTGTGTGGAGAGCGGCGGAAGAGGCCGGCGGGGTGGACGAAGAGATCCTCGCCAGCATCGTGATGCCGGACCCGGAAATTGAGGTCATGCGGGAAAAACTACAAGCAGCAGCTCCCACCGTGGGAGCGCAACAGGGTGCACCAGCCGCCTCGACTGCTCCTGCGGAGGACCATAGCGCGGCTGGCGCCAAATCCCCCCCGGCCACAACCGGTGAGGTCGGCGATGGGAAGCAGAAGCGCAAGGGCAAGGACAAGGCGAAGGGCGGCCCGGCGAAGGTCGGCTCTTCCAAGGGGACGTCCAAAGCGGCCGCGCAGGGTCGGAAGGGTTCAGGCGTCCGCGTTGACCCTTCAAATGGGCTGGCCGTCTCGGAGATGAAGTTTGGGAAGAAGAGCCGTTACATCTGCCGGTCGATGGACAAGTCCGAGGCCGCCTACTGCATCGCTGTCGCCGTTTCGTCGTTCGACGGCTTCGTCAGCGACGTGGTTCTCGAGGAGTTCGGTGGGGTCAAGGAGGAAGTGATGGCGCAGTATAAGGCGGACTGGAATGTGGCGCGATTGATTCCGGGGGGCATGTGGATGGTCATGTGGAGCCGAGGGGCGAACGTCTTCCGCGACAGGTAAGCTTGGCGAATGCTCAATTTGGTGCTCGTTTCGGTCGGTTCGCGTGGGGCGGTCGGTGACGGTGGGTATTCCTGCTGTGTTTCGCAGGTTCCAACAGGTGGTCGCGGAATACAACAGGATAACCGGAGCCGACCGCGCAGCTCTCATGTTGGCTCTTCGCCCGGCGGTGTGGTTCGGCGACCTTCCGGAGTCGAACGAGCCCGAGAAGGCCGCGAAGAAGAAGGTGGCGAGCGACATGATCGCACGCGTTTCGATGTGTGCCGCCTTCGCACCGGTGGCCGCAAAAGTGACGCCCATTCCGGGCGTCGGGTCGGAGCGGTTGTCCGAGATCCTCGCCGGTACTGCGGCCGCGGTGTGGTGTTTTTCGGAGACCAATGCCACGGCGGAAGTAGCGGCCGGCGAAGGGGGGGCGGCAGCGACCATGCGCGGAGCGTCCAACGAGTTCGCGAGTCGGTGTCGGACCGTCATCGAGGCGGTGCTTCAGCGGGCGGCCTCCCGGGTGGTCGTCGTAGGGGAGGTCGCCGAAACGGTGACGAAGGACCTGCAGGCGGCTGTGGTGAGGTCGCTGCCTGAGGTCGGAGAGGAGCGCGAGCACGACGAGCTGATCGCCCGTGTCATGATAGAGAACCTCGCCTTCTGGGGGGACTGCAATGTCGGAGGCCCGAAGCTCAAGGCTCGCGGCGTCGATTTGCCTATCGACCCCCAGATGAAGATTATCATTCGGGACAGGGGGACGAGGGGGCAGCAGCACAAAGGGAAGCAGGTCGCCGACACCTAGGTCGACGAAGGCTGGCCCGCCTGCTCGTAGCATGGTCGGCGTGGGTGCAAACACTGCAGGCTTTCTGACGAAGACCTACAAACGCTGGCCCGACCGCTCGTGACATGGTCGACGTGTCCGGTTTCGGGTGCTATTTTGTTGTTTTGTTGTGCATCTCCGGCTTAGGGATGCTGAACTTGTTCGTCGGTAGTTTTTCAGAAACGTTGTGAAGTAGGTTTTGTGGTGTGGAGTCGGTTTGATGCATGAACAAGAGACAAACTTCTACTAATTTACAAATTTACAAGTCGAAACAACGTTGGCAGTAAAGGAAAACCATATAGGATCACTAGAACAGGTCGGACATGCTCAGCACACCCCCAGCCCACTCTCAGCCTGCCCTCAGCCCGCCCTCGGCCCGCCCTCAACCCACCCTCAGTCACACCACGCCCAGCCAGCAGCACAAGTCGGACCCAAACGCAGTACCCTCAGCCCGCCCTCTTGCGCTTCCCTGCGCCGATGGCTCCCGCCGTCGCCTCGGCCTCCAAGCCGGCCTTATTGGCCTGCTCATCCCACAAGTCGCCGAAGAGCCTCTTTCCCCAGTCAGCGTCCATGTAGCCCGCCGTGACCACGCCCCACGCAACGGCGAGCTTCCTCGCCAGCGGCTTGGCCAGACCCTTGATGCCGACCGACTTTCCGTCGGCTGTGGTGGGGACCTTGATGAGCGGGGTTGCACGGAGGACCAAGAGCGCGTCGCTGAAAGTGGAAAGCCCCGTTCGCCCCAGGTGGTCGAGTAGCTTGATGACGGCGGCGGTGTCAGCGGCGTCGTCGCTCCGCCGCAAGTCGTGCACTGCTTCCATGATCCGCCTCATCCGGCGAGCGCAGTGCTGCAGCGCATCGTTTTTCCCCGTCTCACCCACCTCGGTCGTGGGACGAGAGCTCTTCGCCGACTTCGCCGACGCGGCGGGTTTGTCGCCCTTTTCGACCTTGCAGATCATGCGCGTGTGTCTGACGAGGAATCTGTGCTCGTCGTAACGTTCGCGCAACGGACGCGAGTCGAAGTTGGACGGGTTGTTCCACCAGCGCCATGCAGCCTCGACCGTCTTGGATGTGCGCCAGGGATGCACGACGTTGACCTCGTACGTCAGGTCATCGTTCTGTTCCTTCTCGATCTTGACGGACGCTGCCTTCTCGGCGGCGGTCATCGGCCTTGACGGTGCCGGCGCAGTCGGCGTCGGCCATGCCTCGGCCAGCTTGAGAGCCTGCATCAACTTCACGATCTCCGCGTCCTTCTCCTCCAACTTCTTCTGCATTTCAAGCTTCTCGATCGCGGCATCCTCCCTCTGGCGGTGCAGCATCATGGTGAGCTGGTCGACCTGATATTCGGCGTCAACTCGCGCGCTGAATTCCTGCGATCCAAGGGGGATGGTCGGCAAAAGGTGAGGCAATGTGGCAGGACGACTTGTTTTACAGGTCGCCGGAACGCGCACGCCGTACCTCTTGGGGGTTCTCGCTCGGAGTACTGCGCGTCGCGATGGTTTCGAGGTCCACCCGGTTGACGTCCTTGGCCCATTTCTGGAAGTCGGGGTCGCGGCAGAGCTTGGAACTCTGGACGTACGGGTGCCACGGTTCGCGCATCAGCATGCACGCAAGATCCTCGGCAACGATTCGGCGGCCGAACTCGATGAGCGATTGCAGGAAGTGCACCCCGGCCGTGTTGGGCTCTCTCGCGGATGCGCACCTTACCGCCTGCAAGTCGAACACAAACACAAACACAATCAGCCGTCGGTAGAATGTCGTCGTGGAAATGGTCGGCGGGTTGTCGGCGTTTTTGCCGTCCGAAATGCTCACCTTGGCCAGTTCCGCTTCCGCCCACGGAAAGATGTGCTGGGCGATGAGGGCCACCACCTTGTCGTCGGGCTTCACCATGCTCCGGCCGAGGTGGTAGTCGCCGCGCTTGCCCGTGTAGCCGGCCTTTCTCAACACCGCCGCCTTCGGGATGGTCGTGATGTAGCTCTTCGCGAGCTTGTCGAGCGCCCAGTGGCCCAAGTCGGCGATGTCAGATCGCGGAACGCCGTCGTCGGCCAGCTCCTGTGCCCCACCCGCCCGGGCGGCGTGGGTGTTGCGCATGATGAAGATCTTGTTCGTCCGCCACATCTCTTTCGTGATCCGAGAATGAGATGAAGCCGGCAGCTCTTTTTGTGCCTTGTCGTTCCGAGCATGAAAGAGGTGCTTGTGATACCAGCTGTACGGAGTTGTGAAGTCGAGGGGCGGCACACATCGAGAGGTGGGCGAGCGGCTCAGCTGGTCGTACACGAAGTGCAGCCACAACAGTGTGTGACCGACGGCGCACATCTCTTGCTCCAGGTGTCTCGCCGCGTAGCTGTGATGCAGACGAGCATCCTTGTTCGTCTTGGAGTTTCGTGACGCGACGACCATGACAACCGGCCGTCGCGTGGAGTGCTCGGGCGACGCGTTCCCCATTCTGTACAAAAACAGGTCGGGGAGCTCGATCGCTCGGAGACTGCCTCCGCGGAGAAGGGTGTGGTGACCCAAGAGGGTCATCGTCTTCATCAGCAGAAACTTCCACAGTGTCTGGGAGGGGGTGGCCGCCTTGGGTTCGTACGCCCGAGCTGCCCAGGTCGGCAAGACCTTGAACATGAGGTGGCGGATCTGGTCGGTGGTGTACGTGTCGCCGAGCGTTCCGCGGTGCCGGTCGACGCAATCCCTGCACATCAGTTTCCACGAGGACTGGGTTAGCTGGGCGAACCGGGAAACAGGCGTGAACCGCGCGGGACGACTTGCCGACTTACCTGTCGTCCCTGTGCCACTTCTCTCTGACCATCGCGCGCACCTCCGAGCGGACCTCGGAGATGTCGTACATGATGTGGAGCTCCTTCACCCCGAAGAGCGTCCCCTCGACCTTGCAGGCTGTCTGGAGCGCTTTGATGCGGATGAGCAGCATCGAAATGGTTGTCGGCTTCAGGGGCTGGACACGGACGTCGGGATTCAGCTCCTCGAGCTCCTCGGCCTTTGCAATACCTTCCTGCCTCGCGATTGACAGAATGTACGCCCTGATCCGCGTGGCGTTGACGCGGGGACCGTGCATCCATTGTAGGTCGCCCTTGGCGGTGTGCCACTGATCACCCATGTCTTCGTCGATGTACCTCCCTATCTCGTCCTCGTGTTCCAGCACGCCGTCCCCCTTGACTCTGGCGGTTTGCTGTCTTGGAAGGTTCGCGCAGCACCATCTCCTGAAGTCGAGCAGCGCCCGCAGGTACTGAATCCGGGTCGTTCTCGCCTCCAGCGTGTCCAGATGCCGGAAACCACACATCATCCTCAGCAATCTGTTCTTCTTGGCGAGCTCTTTGTTGATGTCGAAGGCGGCTTCCGCAAAATCGTTGCGCGGAATGTTTTGCAGGAAGGCGTCATCTTTCTCGTCGGCTGCCAACAAGTCCTCTACGGTCAGATACATGTAGTCGTTTTCTGGAAATGGTCCAATTGGCGGCGGCTGCTCCGTGTCCGAACGCGGCGAGTACCGGTCCGGCTCGGGTTCGGGAGCCCCTTTCGTCCCTGGCGGTAGGGGGATGGTCAGGTCGGCGGGAATTTTCGCCCTAGCGGCATCTACGTCGACCACCATGTCGGCGGGAATATTTGCCCTAGCGGTGTGTACATCTTCCTCCATGAAAGGCTCGTTCAGGTCGGGAATCGCGCTGCTCCCCGCCGGCGGCGCGACGCCAGCCATCTCGGCGGGTAGAGTTGTTCTCGTCGGCCTCTAGTTGTCGCCGCGATCTCGCGGCGGTACGTGCTCAGCCCACCAAAGTCGATACTGCACAATCGCTGCCGTGTATTGCCTTCGCACCGTGGCCCTAAAGGCCGCCCGTCTTTCGGCCCTCTCAACGTTCTCGGCGATCGTCAACTCCGCGGCAATGTCGGTCAATTCGGGAATTTCGGGAAGTAAGGGCGGCGGATTGGTGTTCTGCTGGGTGATGTTCGGAGTGGCCGTGGTCGGCGGCACAATGGTCGGCGGGGTGTGAAGTGGCAATGTATCGTTCGGCGGGGTGTTGTCCGGCGGGATGTTGTTAGACTGGTCCCTAACCATTCGAGGCCGCACGGGGGATCACCGGCGATGACAATACTGGTTGTGGGTTTGAAGAAAGAGGTCGGCGACTTTCGGTTGTTGTCGACCTAGTTAGTCGTCCTAGTCGGAATGATCCTAAGTCGGAAGCCCGTAAAGTATGCCGACCTAAACGCACTCTACACCGGCGTGGCTCGTCGTCGACCCTGCACCACGCGTGGTCGGTCGGTCTCTGAGAAGCGTGAAAATGAGTAAGGGAAATGTGGCTCACCAGAATGGAAATGAATGCAACGCAACAAACAAGTGTCGAAATGCCATGGACACTTGGCCGTCAGGGGGTCATAGCATAGAGAGGCACAGTCGCGGTTCGGGCGGACAGGTGTTGGCGGGCGATCCGTGGGCAGGTCTCCAACTCTGCATGCAAGGCAGAACGGCACGGCGGCGCAATGGTCGACGTGGCATGGGGCACTCATGTCTTTTTCGCAGCCGACTGTCCGGTGTTCCCGTCACGGTGAACCGTGCTTACACGTCGGCGTGACGCAGCAGTGCTCATCGCGTCGCCCGACGATGGTATCCCGCGGGGACGTTCCCGCCAGCAGGCCGGCGAAGGCTTGATCGCCGCGTGGACAGACGTTTGCCGATCGATGTTTGCCGCGTGGAATGTTGTGTTTCGGATGGGCGACGTGTGGCTCTGCGCGCCAGCACAGTGGTCGGCCAGAAATCGCGGTGGGCCTCACGCCGCAGTCCGCGCCGATGGCTAGGTGGACGTCGTGGCACGCTGGCCGCGACCGGCGTCGTCGACGTGTCGACCTCGTACGGAGGGTCCGTTGAGAGGTGCTATCGGGGTATTTTTCATCGGGATTGCCGGGTGACACAGGGTGACGCTCCTCGCCCAGGACGTGCACTCAGTTAGCCGGACAGGATGACGCAGGGTGGCGGATCCCTT